GCAGAAATTACTGGATCTGATGCAGGAATTGCTTGGTGAGGTTAGCTAGATGATTGTTGTGGTCCTTTATGGCTTTCACTTATGGATGTAGAGAAGAAATGTTCTCATCTTTCAGCTGGAATGTTTGCCTCCAGCTCTTAAAATTGTCACTTTTTAAAAAAAGTATCAGAAACTTTTACGCAGTTTTTGTGGTTTCTGTGGCACATTTTTCAACCCTTTATATTTAGACTCAGGATAGTGAAGGTGCTTGATTCTATAGGCAGAGGATAGAAAACATTCCCAATAGCATACTAAAAAAACTTTTTCAGCTATTTGTAATATACTTTTCTTTTAACAAGTATGATGGACTCACCATGTATATAAGGGTGCCAGGTTTAGTGAGGCTAGCGCTATGAAAGACCAAAAGAATGTGGTTGTAACCTAAAAACTTGTGAGCAATGCTGCTACACAAACTCGGGCTCCTCAAACTATGCACCATGTACAGTATACTCTGGTTACTTCACCTGTGAGATGATTAGGCTTGACAAAATTCACATGTTTTATAGTTTTGATAAATTATATCAATGTTTATTTTTAAGCATTTATTTTGATTTTCCAATCAATTTTTAGGATTGCACTAAATTAGGGGTATGGTGGGCAGGCAGTTTATTAACGGAAGTAGACTATGATTATTGTGCAGTTTAACCACCCATCGCAACAAACATAACTACTGTAAGACTGCTACCAGCTGAGTAGCATAGCTGTCATCAGTCCCAGCTCTGCTCGCCTGTAGCTTTCCTGTCCACTTTGTTACTTCCTCTTCCTTTTTTCCCAAACCACTGGGGTTTCTGGGCACTGCAGCCCAAACCAGACAGCACTGTTCTGTGAGACTGCCGCAGCAGCCCCCCCCCCCCCCTCCCCCCATCAGCTATCATTTTCGTTACATCCTCTCTCTACAAATTTTGATTATTAACAATGAAAATATTTTTCATCAGGCTGTGTATGTGAGGTGAAATCAACATTTATCAATGGTTAAAGATAAGAATTGAATCCTGCCAGGCCTAGGGATAACTCACCACTATTCTGATTTGCAGCCAGCATCCCTCTCCCCCTCATCACCCACCCCCCAATTATCAACTCCTAATAATTGGAGTGGATAATTTGCTACAGTTTGCTTTTGCTTAGAGTGGCAAATGAAGCAGAGTTTGTAAAAAAAAAATTCAGTACTAGTATTTAAAGTAAAGTATGAAAAATTATTCCTCTCTACAGGCCTGAAGAATAGTCTGCTGGTTTCCTGGCATCTGTCAGCAAGTTCAGAACTACAGCTTGCATTTCTGAAGAGTGTCTGTTGACATATAGACAAAGTCACTTTCCTAATAAGAAGCCTTTAAAGTTTATACAAATTCCCTTTAGGACAGGATAAGGACAGAATAATTTATAATAAGGATAAAATAGGATAAAAGCAGAATCTGGTTCCAGTTATTTTACAATACAAAAGATGATTTGTGGAGTTTCGGCTGTTCCGAGGCAAACTATTAACACCTACTCTCGAATAGTTCCTGTTGGGGCATGCACGCAACACTTAGAACAAGGGTGTCAAACATACAGGCTGGGTCCAGTCCATGGGTTTTAGGACTGACCTTACACACTTCATGGGGCATGCTCTTGCGGGACTCAGTGCCACATATTCTGCACACAGCACAGCTTAAACGTAGAACATGTCACAGTCCAGATTGGACCATGTCAGAGCCAGTGCACAGGGCTGGTCTGGCAGGGTACCTCATGCAGCATGCACCCTGTGATGGCCCCTGGTGCTGTGTGCTGGCTGGTCCAACCCATGTGCAGCACATCCTGGCCCTAGGGCTCACTCTGCTCACAATGCACGGGTTGGATTTGGTACAGCATGTATCTCAGGGTGCTTGAACCAGCCCTGGATCCATTGTGCATGCAGCCCACACCCTGGACCATCCCCCTGTGCTACATGGTAAGTGCAGCCTGTGTGCCATGTACTGAGCAAGCCCTGGGACCAGTATGGACTGGACCTGGTGCTGCAGGTGCTGGACATGCATGCATGGATGCACATAACATTTAGAACAGGGATGTGAACATACAGCCTGCAGACTGGATCTGGCCCATGGAGCCATATGATCTGGCTTGTTGGCCTCTTGGCTGGACCCAGTGCCCTGGGTGCTGCATCTGGCCCACAGACTAACCTAGTGACCCTCATCCAGTCTGCAGGGCCGAATGAGCTTGACACCCTGACTTAGAACGGTTTAAATGATGTTTAAACCTGAAGTGGACAGACATGCAAGCCCATCTGGAATAGTTGAAAAGGGTACCTGGAAAATCAGATATTATTTTGAATTGGTTCAATGTGAACCACTTCAGTATTATGTATAGACATCAGGTGTTTTGTGACAGTGTTCTGGTCAGTCCTTCAGTCATTCCACACTGCATTGGTGCTCTTTCCTCCCT